CAGGGCGGCTGCTGCGCACTAGGCCGTCAAGGTGAAGCTACGTTCAGTTAGGATGCAGCCCGGGCTTCTGGCCAGTGCGGTAGCTACGAAACCTCATGCTCTAACCCCTCGCAGTTACTCTTACGGTTCTGAAGCCCTCAAGGAAACCGAAAAACCCTGGCAGGGTATGTCTCCAAGTAGGAACAGTGCAGCTATTAGAGTTGGTGATCTGAGGGTTTTGCAAACCAAATCACAGGGAGGCCGCCGGGGTATTTTTCTGATGGAGAGTATCCGTGTTAGGGGGTGGTTATAGAGCCACTCAGAACTTGGTTTGTGCAAGACTCTGTCCTTCTCTTCTTTTCCAAAGAGTATCTGAGGTTAGTTGCTTGCTCGCTGTAGGCAGTGTTGGTGCCATTCCCCCAAATGTTTTTCTGGGCTCGTTGAGAATAGACACATTGCCTCTTTTTATGGGAGGCAGAAGGTGCCTTCTCCACACATCGAAACAAAACCCAGAAGAGCCCCGCCTAGGCATCTGTCTGAATTCAGAGTTCCTCAGCAACTCAGGCTTTGTCTGTAAATAAGATGAAATTGTTTTCAAGGACAATTTTAAATTGAGTTTTTTGGAGACAGGGTCTCACTGTGTAGCCCAAGCTAACCTTGGTGATATAATCCTCTTGCCCAAGACTTTCCATTGTTAGACTTTTAGGTATGCTCTACCATGCTGAGGGAAAACTTGAAAGAACATTTTGGGAGGGGGTGTGGGGGAGAAGAGTGTCCATACTTGGCCTTTTCAGACAGTTTTAAGGAAAGGTTTTCATTTATTCTTTTAAGACATTCACAAAGAGAATAGTCTATATCTTGAAAACACCAAGGCCCACCGTGAGTCCATTACTGCTGATTGCTACACACTGACAACAAGAACAGTTGTTTCCTACGTCAGCAGGTGGGGGCTTCTGCTCTGCACACACTCTGCTCTGCACTTTTGGGCACCTGAGTCTTCACACATACCTTCCTCCAACTCCTGACCATGCCTTTTGCTTTTAAAGCAGCCTCCTAGGGCTGAGGCATGGGTGGCCTGACAGACTTCCCAGTTGTCCCCAAATGGACCCGAAAATATGGTATATGCAAGGGTATTTGTTACATTTACCGCTCAAAGCAGTGGTGACTACACCCCTCTATCACCCAGGGCAGGAAAGCCCAGACTCTTTGGCAGGCCGAACCAGCAGGAAGAATAGGCTCTCTCCCCGCAGGCAGTTCTGAACCAGTGGCCAGTGCTGTGAAGAGCCTGTCATCATCTGCAGAGTATCAGTGGGTCACGCTGAAGCCAGGATGCTGGCTCGCTCAGGGAGAGAGTCTCCTAAGTGTGGTGTGGTACGGGCACTCAGCAAATGCAGGTTCCCTCTTCTGCTGGACCCACAGGGTGACGTGTGCAGTCACCCGACAGGCAGGCAGTGCTGCGTTTATTCCTCAGTAAGGACACAGAAGACTCAGAAAAAGTGCTCCTGACTGACTTTACCATATTCACATAGACTGCGGTCTTTTACTGTTTGATGCTTATGACCATTGGTAAGTAAAGAGGAAGTGACCTGTAGCCAGGTGAAGCTTTCATTCGTCATCACTCTTCTGCTCTCTGAGTCCCGCCTCCTTGTGGTCCACGAGGCCATCGTTAGGCAGCGGCTTGAACTGTTAAGTGTGTAAAAAGCATAGCCCCAGCACTTGGGCACTTAATTGCTGCATCACAAGTAGATTTGCCATTGCAATAACCCGGCTAACATTCACTTTTTGGGAGTCAATGCTATGAGAAGTGTTTTAAAATGAATTCTGATTTTTCCAAAATGGCAAGATATTTTATTTTTGAAATCTTGTTATTTTAACACCGCATTGTTAGGTGTGATTTTTGACATCCCAGCAAGGCAAAGCTGTAATCTCACCAGATGCCATTTAACTTATGGTGCATTTTGTCAGATCTTATTTTGTGTGGTATATGCAAGCTTAATATAGATTCCGTAGCTCTGACGACTATTAGTTTTTGAGACTACAGAAACTGCATTGTCTGAGTTTGTGGTGCAAATCCCAGAAAAGAGATTTCAGCAAGTGAGTTTTAGAGCCTGTTATTACCATGGACTTTTTAGTAGCTGGTGGAAAGCGAGGCCTAGAAGCAGGCCCGCAGTCTGGGTGTGATTCTGCCAATGTGGTTTTCTGGACTGAAACATACTCTTTGCATCTTATATGTTGCCGTCCCTGGGAAAGGGTGATAAGCTGGAGTCAGCGCTACTCCTGAGAAGCCCGGCGGCTGGAGTTGTCCCGATGGGTAGACCGTCAGTTCTCCCAAGGGCTGCACCTCGATATCATTTGGTGGGACGCTTATAACAGACATCCATGGCATTGGGTGTAGTGAGAATTTTGGAATTTTGGCTTCTTTAAAAAAATACAGCTACATTGTTTTCGTTTTCATGCCAGGTGTGGGGACGTGGGGCTGCTTTGCAGCAACTGCCTTTGATTTGTCCTGTGCTCTAGCAGAGTGTGGTTTCTCCAGCTCCAGATAATTTCTGTGCTTGTGTGACATTGGGAATTCTGGGGACTTTTCAGAGGGCATATAAGTGTCAGAGGACATATAAATTCAGCGTGGATTGTTGGTTGCTATTGGTTGCAGTTTAAGTAGTAATGTGCAAAGAAACAACAAGAAGAAACTAGCTATCCTGACAGTAAAGACCAAACTTGCCCCAAGGAACTCAGTGCCCCTAACCATCATGAAGTAGTCTAACTGTAATATCCCTCCCGTTCCAACCCCTGACTTCATTCAGGGATCTTGTTCCTTTACTCTCGTTTTTTTCTCTCTCATATCTAGTGTTAGGGAGTTTAAAGGGTGGAGAAGGGTAAAAGAAAGAAGAACTCATAAAGTAGCAAATGCCAGTTACGGTTGGGCACGGTGGCACATCCGTGCGGTCTAACACTAAGGAGGGCAAGGTTCGAGGACCTCAAATGTGAAGTTGTTTGGAGCTACATAGGGTGACACTGTTTAAAACAAAAACAGAAACTCATGGTTGGCCTAGCAGCGCACACCTCGAAACTCAGCACCTGGGAGGGAGAGAAAGGACACTGCTGCGGATCTGGAACAAGCCTCGTCTACTTAGCAAGTTTCTGGCCAGCCAGGCCTCAACAGTAAGACCTTGTCCCATTAAACAGAGACAAAACCAGCCAAACAAAAGCATCACTGTGGTGGGGCTCCAGGTCTTCTGGTTCAGAATGGCATGGTGTTTGGAAGCTCCCGGATAGAAACTAAGGTGAGCTGGGGCCCTCTGTCAAGGAGGGGAGGCAGGAATGAGTCTTAGTTGTAGTCCCTCATGTTCCTCATGTCCTGGAAGAGAAAGGCTGCCACCTTTTGGTTGTACAGCCCTGTGTGCTTTCTGCTGTCAGGATGTGAGCCGTGTTGGAGCTTCCATAACAGATCATAAATCTGATTGTTGTAAACACGATCTGAGGCATTTGAAAGATCAGCTTGTACTCAGAAGCCTTCAGAACTGTATCTTTTTGGGGGAAGGAGAGGCAGGGTCTGATGTATCTCAGCAGGCCTCAAACTTGCTTTGAGGCTGAAGATAACTTTTAGCTTCTGATCTTCCTGCCTTTGCCTCCTGAGTAATGGGGTTGCAGTTACTCACTATCATGGTCAAGTTGACTTTCATGGCTCTTGGGGTCAAACCCGGGAAAGCTGTATACCCTAGAGAAGCACTGTCAATGAGCTATGCCCCAGGCCCTCCACATCTGTTTTCTTACTGAATTTTATATACATCTTCTGCCAGGCATTAGCAGAAATATCCATGTTCACGTTTAAAAATAAAAATAAGTGGAAAATATGTACATTCCAGGAAATTTTTTTTTCCTGCTTGAACTGTTTTGAAGTAAACTCTTTTGAAGTCTGTGTGTACAGTTGTAAACATAATCTCGCCTTCATCTCTTACCATGTTGTAAACTAGGATTCATGCACAAATGAAAGCAGTAGGTCAGAGCCTCACTGTTGTCTGCCCCTTGAGTCAGGCTCTGTGTGTTACTGGATCCATGTTCCTACTCCATCATCAGCTCATTCTGTGGTTCTTCCTTGGGTCATGCACCACTTAGAACTATATTACTATTTACCTCTTAGCTGATTTTCCTTGATTTTCTACCCCAGGGTGGTCTTTCCATCTGCATGTCTGCATTTTCTGTTTGTTCTACTCTTAACCTTGCTGGTTGCCAGGCTGTCTCCGTGTGCACTTTGATGTCTCTAACCTTGGCAAGCAACTACTTCTTTGGAGACTGAGCAGGATTAGTCGGTACTCATTGAACTAGATAGCAAGGCCAGGCAGAGGATTATTGTTGAGGTTTTGTCTTCTGTTTTTCCATCAAATGAAGACCTATGTTGGGAAGCAGAGGAGGTGGAGCAGAAAAGGATGCTGGGCCAGAAGAAGCTAAATTTTCTGAGGCATGCAATTCGTGTCTCACCTTCTCTCTCATCCTAGTATATGCATAGCCAGCTTGAGTGTCTTCATTTTTAACTGCCACAAGGCTCAGGCTAAATAGTTAGATTTGAGGGCAGACCTTGAGGCAGACTGGGGCTAAGCCATTCATTCTGAAATTGCATGGTACCTCAGCATGTGTGAGTCTCTCAGAGCACTGAGAGCTGGAAAGCTGGCTTGGCCAGCTGTTGAGGACATGATGGGTTCAGTGAGTCTGCCTCCTGTATGTTCTGTTCAGAAAGCTCTATGTCTGGATTTTTAGAGAAACCTCAACAGTAGCCTCATTCCTGATTCTTTGATTTTGGTGCTAAAGAAGCGTTCACAGCTCTTGTGATAGTGGGGAGCGTTGAACAGGAAACATAGACACAGGACTCTTGTGTGGTAGTGAGAGTAGTCTGAGGAGAATGGAGCCGTCGGTCCTGGTGTGCTGTGGGAAGATGAAAACGCTTGGCGTTCCAGGTGAGGTAAGCATCCGATGCCCACCAGCAGTGTCTTGAACGTGGCTGTCCCTTTCTTGTCACCCCTCAGAGTGCTGAACAGATTGCTGAGCTCTGCAGGGGTTTTGCCGGCACCCACACCAACAGCATGGAAGCACCAATGGAGAGTCATGACCCACCTCCCAGGCCTCTGGCTCGTCACCTCTCAGATGCAGACCGCCTCCGAAAAGTCATCCAGGAGCTAGTAGACACGGAGAAGTCTTATGTGAAGGTAATGGGAAGTGCTGGGCATTCACACCCCTTTGCGGATGATGAGGTCACACTGGCAGGGGCTTCTGCCCGGGACAGCTGCTACTTAGGATGTAGACATGTGCTCCTCGAGGTGAACTGATACAGGGAAAGGAGGGCAGGCTAAGAGGGGAGAGAACTGAAAGGGCTTTAAACAATTGGATTCTTGACTCATTTTGTTGCCAAGGTAGCTTTCACTATGGAAACAGATGTTGTAGTTCATTATTTGCCATCTGTGGGATGGAGTCTACACTGCCTTAGCAAAAAGGGTAGAGATCACTGTGGGTTCTGAGGAGCTGGGGACCAGTCTGCACCGTAGGGGCCCTGAACAAAGGCCCTCAGAATTTAGGTGGTGAGCCCTGTCCATGGGGTCCCTGTGCAGAACAGAAGCCCAGGCACAGGCATTTCAGCCATCATGGGGTGTTCGCACACCACAATAAATGCATAGCGACCACGGTCATGGGTACTCAATGACTTCACTTGTTTATCTGATCAGCCGGCCCTAGTTAGTGCTTTGAGAAACATTTCATTAACATGGGTGACTCGGAGGACAGTATTCTTTCCTTTAAGCTGATGCCTTGGGGGCTATTTTAAGCTTGCTTCATTAGTCAGTTTCTGAAAGGGCATGGCACAGGACAGTGGCTAGGGATCCAGGCTTGTTGTACTGCATGGCTTTTGGAAGGTCATCTTCAACTTCCTTTTTGGTCCCTGCGCTTGTCACTGGTCTTCCAGACATTCTTACGTCTGTTAAGTCCAAGAGTTACACATTATCACGCACATGTGTTCTCTACCAAATAGCCCTGAGGAGCTGGGAATGTAGCTCGGTTGGTATAGTGATTGCCTCGTGCGCATGGAGCCCTAGGTTTGATACTGCAGAACTGGATATGATGGCACATGCCTATGCCTGTAATCTGAAGTCCCAGTACTCTGGAAATAGAGGGAGGAAGATTAGGATGTGTTATCTTCAGTTTATAGTGAGTTTGGGGCCAGTCTGGGCTATACCAGACTTCGTCTGAAAAAACAACCACCACCACCACCAAAGACAGATCTGAGCTTCTCCTTTAAATATGCCACCGCTGGTTCCCCAGGACTTCCTAAGAAATCTTCTTCATGGCTAGCTCCAGTGCCTCTCTGTATTGGTCTCTGGGGGAGAAAGAGAAGCGAGAGAGATTTTAATTTCGCTTTCCATTATATCTTGTCTTGTATCCAGTGGAAGAGAGAGATCCTAACTTGCAGGGAGCTCAGGGGTTCCTACATGACCCAGCATGTCCATGACCTTTGTTCAAGTCGCTCTGAGTGCTGTGGATGCTGCTGTGGCTCCAGTGCCACCTGACACTTGAGCTACGTCACAGAACCCACTGAGCCCAGGGCCGACTTGAGGTTAGAACTGATTCCCCTGTCACCACTGTTCCCCATCTTCCTTTTGGGTTCTGTTGTACCAGGAGGGCCATGTCCGTGCTACTGTTAGACTACTGAGGTAGACAAGGAAGGACCGACTCTTCCTTCCCTGCAAGAATCCTGCCATTTGTTTTCATAGGGTTCCAGGCATGGAGGCTCTTTGCCAGCCCCAACTCAGCGTGACCCGCTCTTGCTGTGCAGTAAGTGCTCCGAGCAAGTGGCGTTAGCGTGGACAGGAGTGTCTGTGCGTGACGAAATAACCAGCGCTAGTGCAGCCTTATAATCCACACGTGCCCCTGCTCTTTCTCCATTTCTTTCTGTTGCTGACACTTAACACGGAACCTTCTTTGTTGTCATGATTGAATCTAACTCCAAATCTGCATGCACCTTGAAGTTTTCCACATCCGTGTGTCCCAGAGATCTGATCAGTATCTCACAGCCTCTTCCCCTCCTCATATCCCAGGGTGTTGTGGACTGTGGCGAGGGAGGGAGGGGTGTGAGGCACCGCGGTGTTGCAGTGTTGGGTCTGCAATGACAGCTATCACGAAGTGCGCTCTGGGGCGCCCTGGGTTTCGCACTGCTCTCTGGTTCTCCAAGTGACTGCAGCAGTAGAGACTCAAGCGTGCCTTGGATTGGAAACATCTCTGCTGCTCAGTGTTGGTGCTCTTGCACTTGAACACACGAGTTGGAAATTTTGTTGGTTTCAGCCTGAAGTTGAAGAGCTGCCGAGGTCTTGTCCCTCACAACTCTATACAGAGGCTGTCACTGTGCTCCCTGGCACAGAAGGGAAATCCAGGTCACTGGTGACTGGCCACAACTGCAGCAGTACCTAATGGCCCCTCCCTTCCTGGAGAGATGATGGCCTCCATGGCAGGAAAGACAGAGGCTGTTCTGTTAACAGGACGTTAGTGGCAGTGTGGGTGCCGATGCCAGGCAGTGAATATGTGAAAGGTAGCAGGCAGCACTGTGGTGGCATCAACCGTGTACTAGGTAAGCGATGGTAACCACTTTGGTAACCACTTTGAAGGCCAAGAACTTCAGCAAGACGCGTGTCACCATGCCTCATGGGAGTCTTTGGAGTTGCTGCTTGGGCTACTGGAATCAGCTGGTTATTGTGGAGATTTTTGTGTTAAAGAGACTCTTCTCTTGGCTTTTAGGATCTGAGCTGCCTCTTTGAACTGTACTTGGAGCCACTGCAAAATGAGACCTTTCTTACCCAAGATGAGGTAAATAGCAAACACTTTTCTTCTGCATTGTCTTTCAGCCTTTTAGCAGATGTTCTAGACCAGGCGTGTTCTTCCCTTTAACATTCCAAAATGATGCTCCTCCCTTCAGAATTCATACCCAAGAAACCGCAGTTTAAAAAGAGAAATAGCTTTTTTGGGGGGGTGAGGGGTCTCACTGTGTAGTATTCTAGCTGACCTGGAACTTAACTATGTAGACCAGGCTGACCTTAAATTCTCTGCCAGCCTCCACCTCCCCAATGCTAACATTAAAGGTGCATGCCACCATACCTGATGCGATGAAGTCATGTTTTACTTAGGTTTGTGAACTTGGTTTGGGCTTTATTTATAGCAGTCTATGACTTCATGCAGCCCATGGAGTGGAGTGCAGGCTGGACACAACAGTACTGTTGTAGATTCACAATGAATAGCTGTAGATTCACAGTGAACCCTGAAGTTGAAGGGCCTTCAGAAAGTCTTGTCTGTGGCTTCTGTTCTAGAGAGCACAGTGGCACCTTCACAAAGGCAGAAAGATGATTTCATTTATCTATCTATCTATCTATCTATCTATCTATCTATTTATTTATTTAATTATTTTGCAGGAGGTATGACCAAAAGTTACTTTTCAGTATATGAACTATTAATATTAAATCACAAGAATTAGCTCTTTTCTAAAGATTTCCATTCTACCTAATGTTTGGATTTCAAATCCACTTAAAAAGTTACCCTGGCACTGTGGAGCTGCAGAGAGATGGAGCTGTGTCTAGATATAGCCTACACCCCTGCATAAAGGCTCTGCTTGTGCCTGCTTCTGGGCACGCTTGCTTCTGTGCTGGAGCTGAGGGAAGGGAGGGAGTCTGGCCTGTCCTGGACACACCTTCTCACTCCACTTCATGTAGATGGAGTCACTTTTTGGGAGTTTGCCAGAGATGCTGGAGTTTCAGAAGGTGTTCCTAGAGACTTTGGAGGATGGAATCTCTGCTTCCTCAGACTTCAACGTGCTGGAAACCCCCTCACAGTTTCGAGTAAGTATTTGGAATTTGGATTTAGGCAAACATGGGTGGGTAGGGTGTAAAGTTCTCCCCCTTTTAGGTGAAGTTAGATTGTTTCATTGCACCACTTTCTCTGGGGGCAGGGAAGGGCGGCTCCACCCTCTAGTGAGTGCTCTCCGGCGGTCAGCAGTCTTCGTCCCTGACCCCTGAGCGCATCTACTCTCCATTCACTTTTAAGAAAGGCACTGCAGAAACTTCCTCTGAAGCAAGAGCAGCTCCCCTGAACTGGGTTCCAGAAGGCCATCAGGGAGCTTTGTCCCTTGTGAAGGAGTAATTGTAGGACCATGGCTGACAGGAAGTTCTTCCAGGGCTGAGATGAGAGAAGGCAGTATAGAAAGGGCAGAAACATACCGTAGACAGAATTCATCTCAAGTAATGGGATAGGCGGCTCTGAGTCCCCATTCCTCATCCTGTCGACTAATGGTTCTCAACTTGTTGGTTGTGACCCCTTTGGGGGTTGAATGAGCCTTTCACAGGGGTTGCCTAAGGCCATCAGAAATATCAGGTTAAGAACAACTGCCTTAGATCACCTATAGTTCCATCCATCAGATACAGTTAATCCGCTGTCAGGAAGAATCTCTGCAGAGCCTTTCCCATCAATCCAAATGTCTGCTAGGGGGGTGCCTAGACTGTTCTCCATCTACAGACTGAACAGCCAGATTACATGGAAGGCTGATTTGATCTTCTCTCCTTCCTTTTAGAAGTTGCTGTTTTCCCTTGGAGGCTCTTTTCTCTATTACGCAGATCACTTTAAGCTGTACAGTGGCTTCTGTGCCAGCCACAGTAAAGTACAGAAGGTTCTAGAGCGAGGTGAGTTGTTGGTACCCTTTATGGCTTTTTAAACTGTTAATAAACTGTATCTAGCATGTACAGAGTTAAATGTAATTTTAATGAGTTGTTCTTTTCTCGTGATAAAAGTTAGGGTTTTCAGATTATTTGCAGTCATGGGAGCCGTGGACAGGTGGGTTCCAAGGTCTGCTATGTGCCACTTTGCTGTCTTCTTCTGGGGAAACATTACAGCCACAAACCTTGAACGACTGGAGAGAATGCAGGTTGTTTTATTTTTTACACTTCTGTTAACCTTCTTAGGTCTGTGGAGCTACTACAGAGTACAAACCTCACCATCAAACTCCCAAGGAACAGCATAATTAAGGTTGTTTCCCTGGTGGAACTGGGAAAAACGGCCTCCCAGAGGCTTCCCACTCTCCTACTGTTATGGACATTCTATGGCTCCCCACTCTTTTATTTTCATGGAGGGTGTGGAGAGCTTTCTCCTACAATCTGTGCTCAGCATTTACACTGAAGCAGCTTAAACCCACTTGGTTTAAATGTAGAACTTCACAGTATCCCAAAATTCCAAATTAAAAAAAAAAATCCCACAAAACAACAAAAAAACCAAAAACCTTGGGATGCTTCAAATGACTGTGAGCTAGCCAAAGAGCCAGAATCTACCCTCTCTGGTCATTTTCAATGAAGGGCTGAGCGCATTTGCACTTCTTTTCACACATGCCTTTTAATGGATGGGCTACAGCCCAATGTAGAGTCCAACCTGCCCTTTGCCATAAAGATAGGGACCTGGACATGTACGTGGTCTGTCAATCAATGTGGTCTCCTAAGTGCTATATATTTTACCTTGAGACACAACCTAAGTAGGGGCATTTCTTCATTCAAACTGGTTGGACCCTAAGTGGCTGGTCTAACAGTGGCAACCATGGAACCCAGCGTGGTGGTTGGTATGCCCACTGCCCCCGCATACGTACCTGTATTTTCCTGGGCATCTGCTGTAGCACTGGGTAGGGCAGTTCCTGCTGCTGAGGGATCCTCCTGCCACACTTGGCGGCAAGAACTGCAGTTCTGGTGTTACAGGTCTAGTCTATGGAGCTGTGTGGTGAAGGCAGCGTGGCTTCAGAGAGTGACGCTGCTGCTCTTAAGTGGATAGAGTAAGCACAGCAGCGCTAGGGCGGAGTTCATGCTTTTCTCTGTGGATCTTTGTAACTGTGTGGAGCTCATCTTTAGGCCCCTAGAATTTGGTGTCGCGGGTGTACAAGGCTGCAGTGCGGTGCCACATTCTTCTCTAGAGTACGGACTGTATCCTCTGCAGTCCCAGTAAGCTACCGTTACTTGCAGGCCTTGTCGGTGGTGTGGCAGACACTTGCTGAGACCTGGGTACCCGACTCACTGATGCGCTTGGGTTTTAGTACTTGATGGCATTAGACTGTGGAAACTATGTAAAACTCCACTGAACGATAACATAATACAGCTGAATCCATCCCACTGTGCTCTCCTAAGGACCTTCTATCCATTGGTTGCAGCTAAGACTGACAAGGCCTTCAAGGCTTTTCTGGATGCCCGCAACCCCACCAAGCAGCACTCCTCCACCCTGGAGTCGTACCTCATCAAGCCTGTGCAGAGAGTGCTCAAGTACCCCCTCCTCCTCAGGGAGCTCGTGTCACTGACTGACCACGAGAGCGAAGAACACTATCACCTGACAGGTATGGCTGGGAGGTGGCTGCCTGTCGTCGGCAGCTGGCCACGTGTCCACAGTGCCCCGCTGCGGGCCCGCAGGACGGCGACTGCTCATCATGGTTAGAGCTGCCATAGGTGAAGACGGCGCAATACAGCCACTTGTAAGCGTCAGGGTGCTCAGTGTGCTTTGGGGATGTTTAAAGTAAATTAATCAGGCAGGGTCTCATTGTGTAGCTCTGGCTGGCTTGAAACTCGATGTGTAGACCAGGCTGAAACTCAGAGAGGTATGTCTCCCTCTTCCTTCTGAGCACAGGGAATAGCGGTGCATATCACTACGCCTGGCTTACAGGGAATCTCACAGTGAGATTACTCCTACTGCTCAGGAGGAATGATCTGACTTAAACCTTTAAAATAATCTCCGTCTAGTGAGTTGCGGTCACTTGGCTACTGAACAGTGTTGTGACAACACTGGGTCTCTCCTGTGCTTGCCGTGGCCTTGGTCGTGCTAGAGCTAGTGCTTGCTGAATGGGCGCCACCTTGTGGAGATGCCTGAGCAGTGCTCTGTCCCAACAGCAGGCCTCCAGTGGCAGATGACACCACAGTAGCTGGTCACCTCTGCAGTCACTGGCCTGAGGTACAGTGTGACAGTAGCACCCAGGCCCTCGATATGAGAGCTAAGTGTCCCTTAGAGAGAAGGTGATTTGTTTCCCACATTTTAAAACCAGCAGGTCTAGTTGAGCTAGTTGTCTAGTTGAGCTAGTTGAGCATAACAAAATTCCCAGACAGAAGCGGGCTGATGGGTAAAGGTTAGTTGCATATATATATACACACACACACACACATACATAAAAATACACACACACACACACACACACACACACACACACACACACACATACTTTGGTGTTACAACCAATGAAGCCAGATTTTTTTTTTACATGAAAGTAAAATTGTACAAGTAAATGATATAAACTGTGAACCTGGAAAACATAGTGTAAAATATACTGAGCTTTTGCCAAAATCATTTGTCCTTCATATGCCTTTGCCCAAGCTATAAACAAACAGCAAGTTTAAATGCAAACAACTGAGTTTGCAGTTGGGCATTTGTAATTTACAGACATCTGTAGTTTTTTGCTTGCTTGTTTGGTACCTTTTCCTTGAACTGGGAAACCAGCTCCTGTCCTCCAACCTAAGTGAGCAACTGTGCTGGATTCCTAATCGGCCAGCTAGCTCTAGAGAAGATACAGAATTCAAGAGCAGCTTCCAGGGGGATGTACCTATTCTGTACTTTGTGATGTGGTATCAATTGCAGTCACTGTGTTTGTTCTTTGGGGCACATAAAACACTGTTAGGGTATGTGGCTGGGCTAAGGTTAGCTTTATTAATGGCACTTTTCACAGTCCCCTCATTTCTGTGAGAATCTGAGGTAAAAGACAGCCTGACTGCCCTTGAGTCTAACACTTGGATTAAATGGGCCGTTGGGAGCTGTACCTCAGTTATGCTACTATTAGCCTGGAGCTGGACTCCCCTGCTGGCATTTGATGGGCCTTAGAATGAGCAAGCATACTTTCCTGTTTTTCAGAAGCACTGAAGGCCATGGAAAAAGTAGCCAGCCACATCAACGAGATGCAGAAGATCTACGAGGATTACGGGACAGTGTTTGACCAGCTTGTGGCAGAGCAGAGTGGCACGGAGAAGGAGGTCTGTGGGGCCTTCACGTAAAAGGAACTTTCAATACCCTATTTCAATTGTCGTCTTGGAGGCTTATTGCCTGTCTGCTAACCTAGATCTAGTCCTGGAAGCTTCTAGCTTCCATACAATCTAACCCCGGTCTAGGATGTTTTCAGCCTCTGAGACTTCCTGCTTAATAAACTCACCATTGTTTTTACTGGGCTCAGGGCTGGCTGGTTCAACTCAGCTGTTCTGGCTCCAACTTCTCTCTCAGCTAATTTATACAATCTGACTTTCTCTCAACCTCTGAATTGCTCTGCTTGGCCTCAAACTAACACCAGCCATATGCTCTAATCTCTTGGCTCCTTCTCTGATTCACTCAGTCTTCCCTTTTTCTCTCTGCAACCTGCCTCTCGATTACTGTCCCAGTAAAACTGCCTCCTATCTGTATGCCCCTTATGTAGCTTCCTTTTCCTCTCTCTTCTAGGGAGAGTTGGGCATATTCTATTCTGTCAAAGCCATTTTTTGCTCTTAATATATGACAATTAGTTTATATAGAAAATGTAATAAACTAGTCTAAAAATTTAACTGTCCTGTTAGCACTGTATAGAGGCAACAGAAGCATCACTGAGCTGGTCTCTCTCCACCTCCCTTCTTTCCTTTGGGGGTGAAGTCAGTTTCAGAATCAGAAACTAAAACACAGGGAAGGCTGGGCTGGGAGAATGGAGGAAGGAAGGAGCCAGCATGTGCATAAAACATAGGGCTTATGCCTTTTCGGTCACCTTTCTGCTTTAGCATCAGATGAGTGATTATCTGCTTACTCAGTCCCACTGATCACTGACATTTTGTATGTTTTTCATTTTTGTCTGATTGATAAACTTAAGAGCATTGAGCTTTTTAAAAAATTATTAATTAGGTTTTTTTGAGGCAGGGTTTCTCTGTGTAGCCTTGGCTGTCCTGGACTTGCTTTGTAGACAAGACTGGCCCTGAATTCACATCAATACACCTGCCTCTGCCTCCTCAGTGCTGGGATTAAAGGTGTGCACCATCACACCTGACTGAACTTTTAAAGCACATATAAGAAGTAGAAAGTGAAGTGAAAAGGGACAGGGCTTTTATTTAGGTCAACGTCACCTGTTAGTATTTTCTTATTAGAAGTCTTATGTAGTTTAGCAACCTGAAGTGAGCACTAATGCAGACTCCTTACATGAACATGGCCACAACTGTCACTAGTGTGCACTAAAGCTAACCACCACCGTCTATAATTTAATAGGCCTGTAATCCCAGCTACTTAAGAGGCTGAGTCAGAACTGTAAGACCAAAACCTGCCTGGGTTACAGGTTAAATTCAAGGTCAGCCTAGGCAATTTAGAGAGAGACCTGGTCTCAAAACAAAAACTGAAAAGGGCCAAGGATATAGCTCAGTCAGTGGTAAAGCCCTGGTCCAGCAAGCTGTGGGCCATAAATCATCCCTGTTACTAATGGGGTGCAGCTTGATGCTTGGCTCATTTACAGAACTTCCACCCCTTTGTGCCGTGCTGACAAGGACTATACAAATGAAACAGTATGTACATACATTTTAGCAATAACCACATGCATGCAGTTCTGTGTCTAACATGAAACACCCCACTCCTGGGGTCTCCACGTCTTTGTTTCTTGTCTTTACAATGCAGGTAACAGAGCTGTCCATGGGGGAACTTCTGATGCACTCCACAGTTTCCTGGTTGAATCCGTTCCTGTCTCTAGGAAAAGCCAGGAAGGACATTGAGCTCACAGTATTCGGTTGGTATTCCTTTCAGAAGGGGTAACAGTAAGAAAAAGCTCGGCCAACATTGCTGCTCTTGCAGACTCTGGGTTTTGGGGAGCTGGGAAGATGCTGCAGTGGCTGGTACCCAGCCTGCTAGAGGAAGCACCTCACAAGGCTGTTTGGAGACCTGCTATCTGAACAGTGTGCTACATTTCAACCTCTTCCTTCTCCCCCAGAACTGGGAAAGCAAGTGAGATAGTGTATTCTCACTGAGACCTGGATGCCATGGCCTCAGCTGTCAATAAAACAGTGGATAAGCAAATGCTAGGAAATGCTTCCTAAGCAGGACCTTCTGCATAGTTCATGTCAAACAAGGCAGAGCAGGTGTTAATGCATTTCAGAACCATGAATTTGAAGGGTTTTGTTTTCGTGAAGCACCCAACTGTGGTTTAACCTTGGAAGAGTTTGCAGAAAATAACAAGACCTTTCTTTCTCTTTAGTTTTTAAGAGAGCTGTCATACTGGTTTATAAAGAAAACTGTAAGCTGAAAAAGAAACTGGTAAGAACCATGACTTTTAATTAAAGCTGCCTTTTCATAGCTCTCTCCTATGTTGTACTGAAAAGCTTGCTAATAATCATGGCCTCACTGTCCAACAGAATTAAACACTATCTGCCTTATTCTATTAAATTTTGTTATAAAACACTTGTAAATAAATAAAAATATCATACCCCAAATCTACACAATTCAGTGAACCTGTACAGTTAAAACAGCATCAGGAATGGAAGCTATGGAACTTCATGGTAAACTTTATAGTTAGTGCTGACTCATGTATCCACCATCAAAAAAAAAAAAAAAAAAAAAAAAAAGTGACAAAATTACACCCAGAAAACCAATTAGCTCTATATCCTCTTTCTTAACTTGATCTACTATATTATTTGCATTCAGTTCTTCCTCATCCACCTAATTTAGTCTTTCCTGTTAACTTTTCTTCATTTGTTTACACACAAATATATTTTACTGGCTAGATTTTGCATATGAAAGAACATGCAGGCTTTTTTCTTCCCGAGATCAAGTGACTTCATTTAATATCTACATTCCAAGTCTATCCATTTTATTGTAAATTTTTAACATCACTTTTCTTTAGAGATCAGTGGTAATCACACACACACAGACACGGGTTTTCAATATGCATTCATCTTTGATGGACAAATAGTTTGATTCCAGCTTTTTGGTATAGTGAATAAAGCAGCAATAAACATGGGAATGCAGGCATCTTTATGGTAGGCTATGGAGTTCTCTGGACATATGCCCAGAAGTGGAATAGCTGTCCGTCTGTTTTAAAAGCCAATTAAGACAAGTACCCAACTGAAGCCAAAAAAGAAAATTCTATTACCTGAAAAGCAGTGTGTGTGCTTCCACATACACAGGTCTGTTTAGCTCTGGCTTCAAAATAACTTTTACCTTGATTCAAAAAACAGACAAAAAGCCAAGACCCAAACAAACCTCCAAAGCACTCATTAAAGTTTAGCCATGGACACCATAAGCCACTAGCAGGAACTAGAAGCTGCAGGAAGGCATGGCTGCCATCTTTGCATAGAGACAAGGAACCCTGTTCCATGAACTCTCACTCTGGCCTAGTCCTAGTACAAGCCCAAGAGGTCTTTGAGAACAGGGTGTGTACCTTGTTTGTATGCACCTTAGACACCCATCAGAGTCCTGTATACAGATCAAGACACCTCTGTTCACTGTGCAAAACTTTAACCCCTTCTTGGTGGTTTCTTACATTGCAGCCCTCAAATTCCCGGCCTGCCCACAACTCTGCTGACTTGGAGCCGTTTAAATTCCGCTGGCTGATCCCCATATCTGCACTTCAAGTTAGACTGGGGAACACAGCAGGTAAACACTTCGGGGAATGCAATGACAAGAAACATTTTTATGTTTTTCACTCATGTGGGATGAAAAATACAAGAAAAGACATGTTAATTGGCTGGCTTTGGGGGTATAAGATTTCTGATCAGCAAAGATTTACTTGAGCTCATGGCTTTCAGCCCAGGGTGACAGCACAGTGCATTATGACAGGAACATGTGATGACAGACATCTGCTCACTTAATGGTGACCAGGAAGCCAGAGAGGAAGACAGGAGAAGTGAGACAGTAGTAACTGAGAGCACACCTTCTCTGTCCTAATGCCCTCCCTCAGGCCCCACTCTTACAGCTTTGAGTCCTTCTCTCTCCAGGATAGCCACCAAGTCTTAAAGTTCATGGGCCTTTGGGGACATTTCCAAACCACAGTACCTGGGGATCACTTTTGCATGTTATTTTACATTCTAAAAAAAGAAAATGAGAACAAGGTTGTTTTGACATTTCTTCACAATCTTTTGGAAGAAAAAAAATTGGAATTAGATGGCCTTTTCAGCCTCTGCATTGTTTCTTTTACAGTCATCAGCTGTCACTTCCCTTTCTGCAGTATGCTCTGGTAACCTAAAATTTATTAAAGTTCTAGAAACTTAAATTTTATTAAGTTAGACATACTATAAAATTCTTTAATATTAAGAGTACAACAAATAAAACAACAACAAACGTTGACTTTCTAGAATAACTAACTGGTAGCAAGAGCCTTTGGTGACGGAAGGCCATTTCTGTCAGAAGCTGTTATGTTTCTAAGAACATGACTGCATGGGAAGGGAGGGGCGCTGTCACCTCAAGTTCCTGAGCAAAGCCTCCTGTTTCAAGAGGGGGAAGAAATTGGAACTTGGTAGCTGAGACAAGAGGCCTGCCACAAATTCAAGGACAGCCTGGGCTACCAATTCTGCCACACACACAACAAAAGCGAAAAACAAAAACAAAAGAAAAAAAACAACCTAAAAACCACCAGCCAACAAACAGGTAGATCCAAAGAGGGATGGAAAATTTCACCCCCCTTTTTGTAGTTATTTGTTAATATCTTAGAATGAGCTGTGGAAGGAAATGAAGAGAGAAGTGGGGATGTTTGAACTGTTAACACCCTAGGTATTCTTAACCATAGCCTTTTGGCAAAGTTGTGGACTCTCGTTTCCATTTCCGTTTCCCCAGGGACTGAAAACAATTCCATATGGGAGCTGATTCATACAAAGTCAGAAACTGAAGGACGACCAGAAACCATCTTTCAACTGTGCTGCAGGTACTGCCCTTGACAAAATGGATGTTAAGGCTTAATTGTGTCCACTTTAAAGGGGAGTTTAGGGGCTGGAGGGATGGTTCAGCAGCTAAGAGCATTTGCTGCTCTTCCACGGGATCCAAAGTTGGTTCCCAGCATGTGGTGGGTGATTTACACCCACCTGTAGCTCTGGCTCCACTGGGATCTGCCAATTTCTGGTCCCTTCAATGCTTCCCAGCACATGTGGGATACACCTACACACACACAATTACACATAAGTAAATCTTTAAAAACAGTGTGTGTGTGTGATGGGGGAAGTATGTTTTTAGTGCCCTCCTGATTTTTGGTATAGGGTACAGCTTCACCTTAAGAAGGGCAACTGAGGGTCCAGCATAATATACTGCTCAGATATATGTTATTTCAATGTTCAACTCTAACTTCCTTTAAGTCAGAAAAGCAAAACACACACTAGTGGGTAGCTTGCTAGCTTCTGAAAGTGCACAGCTGGCCAAGGCTGTGTCCTGACAATGAAGCAGAATGGACAGTGCATACTCTCTCCTTTCTTCCCCTAGTGACAGTGAGAGCAAAACTAGCATTGTTAAGGTGATCCGTTCTATTCTTCGAGAGAACTTCAGGCGCCACATAAAGTGTGAGTTACCCCTGGAGAAGACATGTAAGGATCGTCTGGTACCTCTTAAGAACCGAGTTCCTGTTTCAGCCAAATTAGGTGAGAATTTTGTTAGTCCCGTGTTTTAGTGAACAAAATACCATGAGGTTGTAATATGGTTACAACTTAATCTGCAGATGATCAGGAGTAACTTCATTTCCTTTGAAGAGAACCATGCCTCCTGCCCCCTTCATGCTCTTATAAAATATACCTACTTTTAGCCCTCAACCCCTTCTCCCATCAGCTGGAACAGTAGCACGTTTCTTCCTTTAAGATGAACATGAGTCTGGAGGCTTCTCTTTGCTTACTCTGCATGTTCCTAGTACCAGGCCTCCTGAAGGTCAATGCTTAACGTGGATCACAAGACTCAACATGCTCATTCGTATGCAATTACTGCCAGCAGCTCACCAGCCTACATTATACTGTTCCTCTTTCTACCTACTTCCCACAGTTAGTGTTTTGTTTCTTTACATTTTCCCCCTAGTGCTAAGGAATGAACCCAGGACCTTTTGTTAGTGGTATATCACTGAATTTTTGTAATCTTACAGGGCACATATTTTGTAATCTTGTTTGTAATCTTACAGGGCACATATTTTCTCCCTCTCACACACCCAATTTGATTGCTCCACATCTGTGTATTTTCTGTTGTCAAAATATTCTCTGGTCATCAAAACTAATATGGTGTTAATGGCTTACAGAAACATTCAAACTAAGAATTCCCTTTCCAACTCTAGAGAACAGAATCAATCATTGAATTGGCTCCCTCCACATATACACAATTAAATATGCACAATGTTAATTCTTGAAGTTGATTATAAATTGCAGCAGAGACAATGCTCAAGAGAGGTAAGAAAAATTTTCAGGTTCTAATGGAGCATCTAGGGAAATAAACAGGGAAGGTATGCATAGAGATACAGTATATTTTGAGATTACAAGGTACTATATAGTAAAAACAAATTAGTGATTAACTATTCAATTAATACACTGGCAAAAATAGTAATTTTACCCTTAGGGTAGCTAGAACTTTTATTGTTCTATCTATATGATCTCTGGAAATCCAAAGGCTAAATCCCAACTTAAGAATTTCAGATATGCCTGGACGGTATAGCTCAGTGGGCACAGTTCTTGCCCAGCATTCAGCAAACTCTAGCATGTATAAAAGTGCCTGGAATCCCAGCACTTGGGGAGGCAGAGGTAGAGGCAGGCGTCTTTGAGTTCAAGGCCAGCCTGGTATACAAAGCGAGTCTTGGACAGCCAAGGCTACACAGAGAAACTCTTGTCTCGAAAAACAAAAACGTGGTAGTGTACACTGTAATCACAACACGCAGGAGGAGCAGAGTTTAAGACTGTCCTCTCAGCTGCCTAACAAGTTTTTTAATTTTTAAAATTTTTATTATTCGTTACATTTTATTAACTCTGTATCCCACCTGTATTCTGCTCTGCGCTATAGTTAAGAGACTTAAAAAAAAAAAAAAAACACCCTAAAAATAGTAGTAAATTCATTGTTTGACATAGCTACATGGCTTTGCCACCTAAATGCCAAGACAGATCATTGAATCCACATACTAAAATCTTAAGTGTCACAACTCCTGAGCAACTCTACACTGTAGAATTTGTTTCTGCGTCATAAGGAGAAATGTGCTTTTTTTTTTTTTTTCTTGGTAGCCTCATCCAGGTCTTTGAAGGTCCTCAGAACATCCTCCAGCAGCGAGTGGCCCAGCGAGCCCAGCAAGGGGAATTCACTGGACTCGGATGAGTGTAGCCTAAGCAGTGGCACCCACAGCAGTGGCTGCCCAGCAGCTGAGAGCACGCAAGACTGCAAGAGCACCGTGCTTGAGAAAGAGCCTCATGAGGGCCTGGTAGGGTTTCCAGATGGTCTCATTAAAGAAAGCGACATTCTGAGTGATGAAGATGAGGACTTCCACCACCCTCTGAAACAGGGCAGCCCTACTAAGGACATTGAGCTTCAGTTCCAGAGACTGAGAATCTCTGAGGAACCTGACATGCACCCAGGTGGGCAGCAGCCTCCCACAGGGTCAGGGGAGCAGCCCAGGCTGGTCAGAGGCCACTTTTGCCCCATTAAACGAAAAGCAAACAGCACCAAGAGGGGCAGAGGAACTTTGCTCAAGGCGCAGACTCGTCACCAGTCCCTGGACAGCCACCCTGAAACTGCCAACATTGATCTAAATTTGGTTCTGGAGCGCGAGTTCAGTGTCCAGAGTTTAACGTCAGTTGTTAATGAGGAGTGTTTTTACGAAGCACAGAGCCATGGCAAATCATAGTATGATTTGTGTGGTATGGTTACAATTCTCATTTGTTTTTAAACTGGTGGAAAAATGAAACTGCAGAAAAACCATACATATTTAGGTTTGATGCAGTATATATTTTTCCAGAAAACTTGTAAAGATTTAAGTTATTATTTTAATTTATTGTGGATCAGAAAACTAGATTAAGTTGGTCAGAATCTGTAAATTACTAGCTTGTATCTATCCCCTTTGAGCAGGAATCAAATGATTTAGTCTTGTAATAAAATCGCATTCTAATTATTTTAAGTTATGTGGGAAAAGTAAGATTGGGAAAATTGTGATTAATAGCTTTTAAAAGGGCCCCTCCCCCAATCCTTTGGGCATTTTCTTTGAGCTGTTAGTTTTTTGCTTTATTTAAAGCACATTTAAGTTATTTTTACATGGTTTAGGGGCACAATGTGCAGACATTTCCTTTTTGAAGGTTGTAATAAATGCTGTTTATACTAAACATGTCGTATCTATGCAGTATATAAAAGGAAAGCTTGTACTGTACCTACTTGATATTCTCTTATCAAGCTGAAGAGTAAACTGCATGTAAGCCATCTGGTCATTGGTATCTGTCTTTATAGATAAGTACATATGTAGAGGATCCACACTGTGGCTATGGACCCATCGGGCTGGGAGTCCTAAGATAGTACTTAGAACTCATAACTTTCTGTGTCATTTTTCTCTGAGCCTTTTCTTTTCTTTTGCTTGAGCTCTTCTCTGAAGTTATAAGCAAAAAGTTGTGGGTCTTCATCACACATTTTTCTATATACAGCACATAGGCTTTGAAAATGCATGAGAGAGAGGTGGGTGGGCCGGAGAGTTGGATCAATGTCTGCCAACTGTAACAGCCTTCCAGTGCTTTCTAGGCGTTGCGCTTCAGGGAACAACATTCTGAAAGGAAAGTGGGGGAGAGAGAGAATTTTACTCAAATCATGCTATCTTTGTATAAACTTCAAAATGACACACTGAGAGATGCCTGAGGCTCGGATCTTGGAGCCTCTTGGTTCCCCAAAGGCAACAAGTCTTTGGAGGCATGTCTAAGCTAAGACTTGAAAGGTCTGTCTACAAAGGGGAAACTACCTTCCCAATGAAATGAAACACATTTGATTTGCCTCACTTTTGTAAAAGTTTTATTATATCTTAATTTCTTGTTTTGATTTTCTATAACCTGGACATATTAAGTCTTCAACTCCCCTTACTTCAAAACAGTAACTCATTTTGCAAAGTGCTAAGTAATCTTTTATGAAAACAAAGTTATTCTCAATCATCTTTAAACTCAAAGCATCTAGTTTAAATTTCATTTAATTAAACCAAGTCACTTGTCTTTCAAAAGACTGAACTTACATGCTTTAAACTCTGCGAAAGTGTGCCTAGACTTTGACCATGGATTCATCCAAAGGGCTCAGCAAAAGCCATGGTCAGTAGAGGATGAGTTCTCTTTCCAGCCTGATGGTGGAACACACTCCCCAACCTTTAAGATGAAGTGACTTAGAATCTATTACCAGGCCCTCTTTATTCTGAAATTGAACTCATGATCTAATACCTGGGTCCATTTTGTAGTATGTTGTGACTGAAAAATAGCAACAACTATCATTCAGAGTGATTTTTGGTATTTGGTCCATATCTGTACAGAGGATGGTGTAATGAAATGAATAGGTCCCATCACTTAGTTTTGGGGGAGGTTGCCGTGGAAAGAGTAGGACCAACTCTAGGCTGGATCAATTCCAGGATTTCCAAAAGTGATACCTGCAACCTCCAATTAGAGCTAGAATGTATAGAGGTATGAGTTACACTTTAAATTACAGTCAATAGGTTGATTCACAAACATCAGCAAACATCCTTTACAACGGTTTTATGAGTGGCATTGGTTTCAGGATACAGCTGCCTCAACATACCTGAAATCATTTCACACACCAACCCACACTTCTGACATCCCTATAGAGAACCAAAATGGATCTGTGTATAAGTCTTAAAAATGAACAATGTGTGCTAAATGCTGAGCTCTTTTAAGTTGCTATATATTGACTATATGAAGCAGAAATGTAAAAAAAAAAAAAAAAAAAAAAAAAAAAAGCCCTTTCTTCATTCTTTATAATTGAATCTAACTAAACATTTAAAAATCTACTAGATAAGAAGTAATTGGTGTGGCTGCTGCAGGGCTCTGGCTCAGTCTTATTTTGGGGAAGGCCTGTGTGGAGCACTAAGACTGACAGAATAAGCCCCCCACTAAGTGACTGCAGCATGACAGTATAATGACGTTATAGCTGCTAAGAAGTTATACTTGCTTTCTACTTCTCAAGTATGTCCTTAAAAGGACAGAGACAGCAACTCGGTGCAAAGAGAACATGATAAAAATGGTCCTGATGTAGAAGCCAGGACCTTCCCACCAGTTAAGTCTTGTGGGTTTTAGGTCATATTTAGGATGAAAGCCAGCCAGACCTGTATATGGCACCTAAGGTAAACTCAGGGCATTTCCTCAGTGGTGGTGACATACTGCTCACCACAGTGTCCAAACTAGGAGCCAGAGTCATCCAGCCTTTTCAGAGTTAGACAGTCAAAAAGGGTTCTTACCCGAGCCCCCGGTGGCAGTATTTCCTTCGGAACTGAAACACATTCTGTACAACTTTTTCCACAAGTTTGAATGGCTGCTTGATCTTGGGCTCTATCAAGGGCGTAAAGTGCACCACTCCTACATCGACCTTCATTGAGAACAAACATAATCACCATCTGGCAAAATGTGATTGAACTTTTTTTTTTCTAGTCTTAAGGATCAAATCCAAGGCTTCCTGCATGCTTGGCAAGCACTGCAACACCAAGCTATGTCCCCTGTCTTAAACAATTCATCTTTGAAAATCACAGCAGTTCTCATGAACATTTCAGTGCCTCTGTTTTCTCTGGACACACAAGAAGCTAAGTTTTAGATGGCTACAGAAATTCCAGCTGGCTGCAGCTATCCATAATGGTGTCCACTAGACCTGTGCCCATTGGTCACTTTATTTTAAAATGTAGAATTATGATGGGCTTTAAAAGCCTATCTGGGTAACTGTTAAGGCCAGTAAGCAGGTAGGAGTTGGCAGTGGGCGTTTTAGCTTTTGGAAGAGCAAAATAAGCTACACTAGCAGTGCTGACTGTAGGGCAGGGATCCCCAAGGACCAATTAGTCCTGACCTCCCCAGAAACAGACGATTAGGACATCAGCTATTTTGGGTACAGATGCTGACTACTTAGCTGGACTGAATTCATTTGCAGAATCCATACAGGCCTAGAACCTTCAGAAGCAACTTTACATGCACCAGGAGGCAAAGGCAGGACTGATATGGAAGAAAATCTTAAACATTGTCAAACAGTGACATTTTAAAGCTGCTACCAGTTGTTGAGATGGTTTAATTATCAGAAAACTAGCTTTCCAAGCATATGAGGTAAAAGAGTAATTCTCCAGCCTTTTTCCAAAAATGGATTCATTATGAATGAATCATTGAGAATCACTGTAACACAGGAAAAATGCAAACTAAAGGCAGGGAGTATTGGGTTCAAAACAGCCCTGCTGGGCACTCTAGCTGAATAAAGCACTGGGTCTGGAGAAAGCAGACCAATTTAGATGCATGGGCAGTGCTGCTGCTTTTCAAAAGAAAGTCTTGCTTCCAGCCCCATTCAGGTGATCATCATCTTCCTCAGGATGGTTTGTTTTCCAATGTTTTTATGGCTACATAGCTCCTTTTACAATAGCCAGCAACAAGCATGGATAGGAGGGCACTGGTTTGTTTTTAAGCATGAGGAGAAATAAGAGGTTAAGCTGTGAGACCTGGAAGAGCAAAGGGAAGATAAGCTCAGCCTCAGGTGAAGAGGCTCCCTGGGGACTGCAGCGGCATTTCCACAGCCTGGCACGCCTTGCCAGCCAGCTCAGACCTTCCTCTCCATGAACACTACTGTTGCTAAAGGCTCAACTCCCTGCCGCTATACCAACTGGATGTAACTGGCAGTAGATATCTGAGCACAGGGACAGTGTGGGTAACAGAAAAGAAGGTTCTAAACAAGAGTGAAACTGTCCATTGGAGGGTCTTTCTATACCAAAGGACTCCTAAATATCCACCAAACTTCAGACCTCTTCGGTAAAGAGTATTATTGTGAACAGTATCATGGTTATGAAAGTAAAGTACAACATTAAACGTCCTTAATAACTTTCCCTTCCCCTCCTCCCTCCTTAATGACCTTTAATAACTTTTCAACTGTGTCTTTAAGTTGCTTTATCAATTCCTCTAGTTAACATATACTTTCTCTTAGACCTTTTGTAAAAAACACAGTGAGGTGTCCTGCAGTTACAGAAGATAGTAAAGAGGGAGTTGTGGAGATAGGCTCAGGGTTGTAGAATGCAGGTACTGCTATAGGTAGAGAAGAAAAGATGGTTCACTCAGGGTACTCCTCTGGGTAAGGAGAAGCAGCCAAGATTTAACACAATGACTAAATGTCAAAGAACCATCTGCCTTTCCACAAACTCTGACATGCCAGTCTTTACCATCCATCATGATTCTCAATGTCTGGCAAGGTCCTAGTGCATCTTTTATACTTTACTCTGTGCTGTCATTCTGTGACTGCTTGCACCCAACAACAGGTGCACTCACTAGCATTCCTGCCTTGTCTGTTTCTGCCACTTTCTTCAGCCATCGCCAATGTTTTTCACCCAGTTCTCACAAATACACAAACAACTCTAAGTTTTTTGCAGTCTCTCAGTGTGCATATTCAACAAAACAGTGGTCTCAAGCCACCTTTCAGAAACAAATCAAAACCCAAACAACAAAACAGCATGAGAAAAAATTTAGCTTCCATCCAACCTCGAACTATGAAACAGTGTTAAAAACTATATAAGGTCCTAATACTGCTAAGATCAAAGGTACAGGTTCAGGGAATGATGTACCAATCTCCCTGCATGAAGCTGCCACTCACAATGGTATTTTCGATATTATAAATAGGCTTCATTCTTATTGCTTAATCTTATTCTTTTGTGATATAGTTAGTGCTTGTAAATATAGGAAACTCCTAATGTTTGCTTCATTTAAATAGCTTTAAAATGCTACAGAACTATAACAGCATCCTATACAGGCTAGCAGACCTCTAGAATTTGAATACTATTCTGGTAACCAGTTAAATTGGCACTGTATCATAGCTGAAAGAAAATTCCCATTCACAAACGTAATACTAAATGTCAGGACTCTAAAACTCACAGGCAGAGAGCTCAGTCAGCAGTTGTCCTGCTGTGGGGAGGACAACTTCTGTTTACCTTCTCTGCTCATTCCTGTAAAAGCATTTCTTGAAATTACTGAGTGGAGGAGGCCATATTCTCTAAAAACCACACAGGAAGGGTGGCTGGTAACTATGGTAACAGATACAAAGTGTTTTTTTTTTTTTAAACTAATAATTAACACTTATTTAACAACCATTACTTTTTTCTCTTTAATTTTGAAATGACTGAGTTAGAATAAAACAAATCAGAAAAAGAAAGCTCGATACACTTAAAATACTCTAGCTTTAATGTGGTTCACAGGTATTACAGCTGGGTAGGATTATTGATTGCTTCCCTCTCTGGGAAGCTTACATAGTACCTTCTATAAAAGCCTCAGGGAGGAGGCTTTCAAGTCAGAGCTGGCTTGGGTCCTCTATGCCTTGTGTCTGAAGTGCACAGCATCTTTAGCAATAGGGACTTAACTTTTGACTTCTGAGAAGCAGCCAAGGGCAACAGTAAGAGTCTATATTGTTTTGGGAGTCTCCTGAACTCCCTTTGAAAGGGAGTTTATCATGCCCAATACCGAGGTTTTTGTTAGATGGTCTATAGCTCTTGGGGGGATTAAGTGGGTAATTTCATTTAAACTATATATTAATGGACCAGCAGGGCATGATAACCCCTAGGATGCAATAGCAGCACTAATATGTTGTTGATAACCAACAGCTCTCTAATTGGACCCAAGTCCTGCTCAACAGGAAGGAAATCACGCCTGCTACAGAAACCTAGCCAACAACTCAGGGCCAGTGTCAGCCTGGATGTCAGAGCAGTACCTACTACCACTAACTTCACTAAAATAGCGTAATTTTTAACTGCATTCTAAATACTCTTATACCCACAGTAAGTGCAGCTTTTACCCCTCATCAAAGAAACTTCCCTTTGCAACAGAGACCATTACGAAAACCAAAACCAAAACCAAAAAAACCCACAACTGGTCAAAACGTAAAGAACAAGTGATCTTGGGGTTCCCAGCGTCGGTGGATAATCTGCAACACAAGTCCTGCATGTAAAGCTCAGGGACATCTCAGGAGAGAGGGTAGAAAGATTTTAAGAGCCAGAGGACCAGGAAATCTGCTGTGAGATTATGTCTCTTAGAAATGACAGGGGATCCTTACCCAAGATCGCAATAATATGCCTGCTGGAACAAGGCCTGAAGAAATATACCTCCAATAGATATGTTAACATGGAAGGAGAAAATCTGATGGCACCCCACCAATATACAAAAAATTAAAGAATGCTGAGAGCAGGAGAAATAGTCTTCCCTAGGGATGAGCCTTCTAATTGGTTTTCCAATAGCCGATTAGCCCTGAAATCATATACAAAAACTAAATGGTTTGAGCAGATTGTATTTATATATATAGGTGCATTTGTATGCACACAAAACAATAGAGAGAGAACAAGAGAGGAAAGTGTAGAGGAGGAATTGAAGGAAAGGAAAAGGAATAACGGTGTAATTTTAAATAAAAGAGAAAAAGGGCCCCTTGTGGGGAGCTGATGAAGTCCTGAGTATGTATAGTTGACCTGAGCACAGCCATGTCAAGGACCCCAATGCATAAGGCTCACAGAAATGGCAAAGCCTTCTTGTGGGTCATGCTTAATGGAATAGTAAAGCCCTTTTCAGGTCTAAGTACGAATGTTATCAATGACTGACCTTTAGCTAAAATCGGTGTGCACAGAAACTATAATCAACTACGGCTTCCTCCTCCCACAGGACTTCAACCTGAAACTGCTCCTCTACAAGAGACCTCCTAGTGAGATTAGCTAACCCTGCCTCCTCTTATGTAATAAGCCTGCCTCGTTATTAATGTTACTACAGACTGGAAGCTAAGATGTACTTGTTTTTTTTTAATAGACTGATGACTATACTGTATATTCAATCAGATTTGTCACCTTATGAAGAACATCCCTTTCCTTGAATCTATTTCCTGCAAAGTACACCTGCTGCCATTTACGTAGTTGGATTTTGTTTCTTCCATTATAGCAGCCTCCTAGAGATGACTTATTTAAATGCAGCTTCCAAGCCATAGCCAAGGTACTCTGTCCTCCACAAACTGCACCATAAATGAACTTTCTGATAACTTCTATGGCCGTGGTAGTGGCTTTCATAGTCTTTATTGATATCCCTCATCCTCTGGGACCCTCAGGTTTCCTCTCCTAGATCGGACTCCCTGTCATTCTCTGGTGCTGTTACTGGTTATTAGGATCGGGTGATGAGCAAACAGACTTTGATATGCTACTGGGACCACAGAGGTATGTTTATAAAGTACTTAGATGAAGCAGAAAGGAGACACCACTGCTGTTAGGATAGTCACTAATTGACACATTAAAAGAACCTCACAAAAGTTTTTCTTAGATAAATGAAAATGGATGGAAATATTCTGCCCCAAATGGATTTTGCATGAGCGGTAAGTGGAGGTTGAGAGGT